TCATTTTGGTTCTTTGAATTTGTGGCAAGTGCAAATATTATAATTAGCATGAGGTAAATGGTGTATATATATATATATTTGAAAAGTTGCTGTTCCCTCGGCCTGCTGCGTTTGTTTTGATTGCCAGCAACAATTAATTCGCGTGAAATGGCACAAAATTTCAGCAGGCTTTAACCCACAACTCGAGCTGGTTTCTCTCGCTGGCTCTGTGGATCCTTTGTTAGACTTTGCTGGGCGTAACTTTTGGCCGCCCCTCTTCCATCACTGCCTGTTGTTTTCTCTCTCTCTCTTTTTTTTCTAATTTGTGGTCTGGTCTGATTGTTGCTCTTCAGCCGGCTAATTGTGGCGAAAACTTAAGCAGCCAAGTTAAGTGTTCCCCTGCCGCTGTTTAGCCACGTTCACGTTGATTTAACGCATTTGCTGTTTCTATACTCATTCAGGCAAGTGAAGTGGGCATATTGGCACCGGCTGATCTCCATTTTTATATGGGTCTATCCTTTGGTCATTCTGTGTGTATGAAATCAATGGATGGCACAAGAATAATATAAATATATGAGTATTCTATAGTCGTTCATACCCGACTGCGACGTTTTCACTTCTTTTTCACTTGGCTAAAAAGTTCCTACCCTAATCCCTGACCCAATTAGAATACATTTCTGCATTTCACACCAATTTTTAGGTTTATTTACTTATTTTTTTGTGTATTCGGTTTTGCTGTTTGTTTAAATAATTTACAATTAGTTTTCATGTATAGCCATTGCAATTACCATTGCCAGTAGCTGTTGAGCCCGCTGCGCGTTTTAATCGCTTTCGTGTAATTATTTTGCAATCAAAATGTAATAAAATACTAATGAAGCACTCCAATAAAATACTAATGAAGCCATATATATAAATGTATATATTTTTTCTGTCCAGCCACATAAATTAGCATAGATTTAATAATCGAATTGTCACGTACATGCTTTTCATGTTTTCCACAGATTTTCCTGCTCATTGTTGTGCCATGCTTTTCGGAGATTTTCCTGCTTGTTATTCTGTTGCATAATCCAATTAAATGACATATATGTATGTATGTACATATATATGTACATATATATTTTGGTGTATTTCTAATTAATCAAATGCAGCTTCAGGCTACAAGTTCTTAATTACATCTTAGTTAGTTAGTCAGCTGCAGAAGAGCGCCTGAAAATGTAATTAATTATCTAAGAGCTTTGATGTAGCTCTAAGCAAATACTAAGTCTAATTAGATTCACTAAAGTGAGAAACCAAAAGGAATTTCAATTACATTTATAGCGCTTTGTTGCTCTTACAATTCATGCATATATAATTTTAGTTATCATATATTTAAATGTGTTAAAAATTAGACTTAAATCTAAACAACAGATTTAGATATGGGCTGAAATCTGAATTTTATATAGTATGGTATGCACATATAATACATATTTGTATATCGTATATGGTAATACACATTCAGAATATGCATAAAGGCATACCGTTATACAATATATGGTTTTAGTATGCTCATAAAAGAGAAAAATCTAGCTAATTTCACATTTTGAATAAATACTTTTCATTAAATTCGCATATTTTGCATTGCAAGAAAACTTTTCTTTGTTCATTAGATGAAAGTATAATTTTCTGTTGCCTTATGGTAAGCTGTTTATGCTCTTTATGCAATTGAATAGGGGTATATTAGTTTAATATAATGAGCAAAAAGTGAAGTGTATTAATTACAATTATTTATTTATTAGAGATTAAAATAAATACTAACTGTAAATGGAATTCATTAATTAAATACTGACTGGAGTGGATCTATTAAATGCAATAAGAAGTAAGAAGAAGTACCAGGTTCTAGAGTGTTAAAGCTAATCAACTTTATAGCTAGACAGAGCTGTAAAAAACTAGAAATATTTTTTATATATAATATATAACTCTTATCAATTCAAGCAGAGCAATTTCTTACCTAATTTACCTTCAATATTATAATGGTTTATACAGCTAAAGCAACCTGAATAGCTCCTGATTTAATTAATTACCTTCAGTAAACTGCATTCATAATGTTTATTCCGACTTGCCATTCAAACAGCTTGAGTTTTCTTTACTTTCTAGCTTGAATTTTCTATTTCTGACTGATTAATTTCCCACTCTTAACTTGGCCTACTATATACAGTCAGTAAAAGTTAGCCGCAATTGAAGTAAAGCCGCCAGCGTTTGGTTCGCCTTGGCGAATCGCGATTGAGGAAAGGGAAATCTGCAATTGAAATGAGCGCAGACCGCAGGACATCGGCTTCTCATTGCATAAATTGCATATTACGTGAAATGTGCGCGTATTACAAATAGACCAGATGAGAGAGAGAGAGAGAGAGAGAGAGAGAGAGGGAGAGACAAACTGACAGAGCGAGACAGACAATGAGACAGCTATTATGTTGCTGTCTACGATGTCTGCATTGAGGGTATCCTGCTGCTTATGTTTCTTTCGCAGCTTGTTAGGATTTCCTTGATGCCGCTGTTTGTGTGCATGTCACGGCTTTTTGCCACAAATTGTTGGCCAAAAACTTTTGCTGAAACAGCAACAGCTACGAGGGCTGATCCATGGAGTTGCGTTGGCCAAGAGTCAATGCAGGCGAATAGAAGAAACGCCCATGAATTCTTGTGCCTTGCAAACTCTGAACTTTTACAAGAATTTTATAATTTTGCATTTACAAATTTACACATTTTGGAGTAAAATAGTATTAACTGAAAGTTTTTAGCAAGTAATTGCATAGCTGAATGAAATTGCTGTAGAAATCCGGTTAAAGTTGAGCAGAAAATTGGTCTGAAATGCTGAAAATTCAATATCTTAAGCCAGCTTTTGCAGATAGAACAGCTCCAGTAAACACCTGCAAAGGACATCTGTATAGATGCTAACTGAAATCAACTAGAAAATCAAATCAACTTCAGGATTGCATCTCACATTCCAGCTCTGTTCAATCGAGATGTAATCTAGGACAATGGGCGTTCAAATATGCTTAGCTGCCTAGAATTTGGAATTCAATTTCGCGCAGATTATTCGCAAGCTTGCTGAACAAATATACAATATATATATATATATGTATGTATGTATTTAAGTAGTCATGGGTCAAGAACCCGCAATGCCAACACGCCTTCCATTACAATCGAGTCATAAAAGCAACTCTGAAGAGGAAGAAAACTCACATAGGCAGCGAAAAACAAAAGTCTGGGCGATGCGTCATTTCCGCTCGCCAGGGGGTTGAGTGGGGTGGGGTGAGGGGGTGTAACGAAGGGGCGTCGCTGTGGCCGGGCGAAACGTGTTGAATGCTTAGGTGTGGCCCACGGCTAGCCTGGCTCGATTGTCTTGCTGACTTGTGGCAGCCAAATTAAGTAACCACAGCCTGTGTCACACTCCCAGATACAGTGTGAGGTCCTTGACACCCGCTCACTGAGCACATGCACTTGATAAGTCGAGAGCTGTTTGCGCTCGGTAAATAATTTGCTAGCTTATTGCTTTCTTTGGCTAGAATTACAAATGCAATCGATATTACTTATTTGTCTATTACAAACCCCTCCAAAAAAATAGCAAAAGTTTCAAATACTTGTTCATATTTGTCAATACCTATAGACATACATATATATGTACATGTATATACACACATATGTATATGCTTGTGTGTGTTTTATTTTATTACCAGGATAGTTGCCCCTGGTTACAGCTGGGGCATAACAACAACTATTCAACTTTTCTCTGCCGCTTTTGGGCAACTGTTCGGAAATTTTATTTCTTTGCCTTTATTTTGTCTCTTTTTTTTATTAATCCTTTGTGTATTTTAACAATGAGTTATACGACAGGACAACACTGTGCCAGAGAAATGTTCCTGCTGATTTATGCTAAGTGCTGTAAATACATTTTCATTTAACTTGCTCTGTTTGCTGATTGTTATTGTGTTTATTTTAATTTAAGCAACGTTTAAAGTTTCATCTGAATTTGTCAACTGCAGCAGTTAATTATCTCTTGTTTGCTTGCCTTCAATTTTCAAGCACTTCGTTTGGAATTGACTTTAAATTAGCTTTGTTTTAATCTTAATGGGAAAATTACTTTTATTTTCCATTCACTTCAAGTTGACTGATTGCCCAATCAATTGCTGCACTTGGGAATTTCATTCAACTGGCAAATGGCAAATGGCGAAGGCAACGGCAATGGCAACGGTAAACAGTTGAGCTTTGAGCATTGATAGCGGGCGTCGAAGGCAAACTGTCAGCATGAGTTTTGCTCGAGTTTGTGGTTTGATTAGGTTTCATATCTGCTTTTTTTTCTAAGCAACAAGAGACCAGCTGCGACAGCTACCCCAAGCAAGGAATCATATGAGAGCTTTATGCGATTATAGACATGCCCCCAGTGAGGGTTCCACACCTTTGCTGTAAGACTTATTTATAATAAACACACATACCTACAAAAACTTAACATACATATGTATACATAAATATATATTTGTATATTTTAGTAATAATTATAAAGTGCAAATATTATTCGTTTCTAAAATTCCGACTAAAACAAGAATTAAATGCCTCAAAAAAACTCTTTAATTTATGCTATAAAAACTCTCGATTCAATACCACAAAAAACTCTCAAATTAGTGGCAAAAAGTTCCCAGCTTAGTGCTACAAAAATGTCCTAATTAATCCTTTAAAATAGATTTCAAACTGTACACATACATACATATGTACATATGTATGCATGTAAATAGCTCTACAAATAATACAAAAGTGTTTCCACATTTTCCAGCACTTAAAAAAAAACAAAACCACATTGTATTTAGCACCTCAGGTGCACAAGTTGAAAAAAACAAATTATTAACCTGCAAAGTTGTTAGGCTTAGCTTGCACGTTGATCACTAAATAATTGATCATCCATCTTACATACATACATATATATATATATGTATGTATGTACATTTTCTCACTTGCATGTAAAGTCAATAGATTGTATGTTTTACACCTACCTGTTGTTCCATTTTTTGATTGCGGCTGCTAATTGCAGACATTTTGAGTTGAGCTTTCTTGCAGTTTGACCGAATGAATTGTTGTTGTTGTTGCACACGTTTATTTCACTTTGTTATTCGCAATGATTTACTATTGTGGTCCCTGTCAAATGCACAGATATACATTAGCGATTATTCATTATATTGTTGTCCTTGTCAAGCACGCAGGCATGAGCCGATCGTACGCTAAGAATTCGTTCGTTTCTCTAATATTCAGCTATGCCAAATCAGGGAACAAAATAAAATGAAATGCATTTAGCATGTATATGTATGTATGTGTGCACATATGTGTGTGACACACATCTGTATGCATTCATATTTACTCATGTGTGTGTCAGTGTATTGTATGTGTATGTGTGTTATGACTGTATTTGATGCTGACAGCTGCCGTGCACCGTTTGTTGAAAAGGAAATTTATTTGAAAGCACATGAATGCAGCAAAACAAAAAACCAAAAAATGAAAACGAAAACGAAGGCACTGAGAAGGCGCGTCTGGCTGAAAAGTAGCTCGAGCAACTATGGCAAAAAACCTACAAAAACAACAACAACAACAGCGAATAAGAGTGTTCTAATCAAATGTGCTCGACTGGCAAATACCTTTTTTTTTGTATTACTAAGGTTAAGTGTGAAAGATACAAGCGCACACAGCACGATCCAAAAATCTCACAAATACGTAAACACATAGACATGCATAGTCACAGTTATCTCTGGTTGTTTGCCACATAAATTTGCTCACCAAATATGCCCTGTTCAACTTTTAGACATGGGTACACAATTATAAGCGCACCTGGTTGTCTGGCACTGTTATTGTTGTTGTTGCTGTTGTTTTTTGTTGCTTTGTTTACAATTGCAGTAGTTGTTTGTGTTATTTCCCTGTCTAAAGCACACGCGACAACGAATTTACATTTATGCATACATATATACATACATATGTATGTATGTACTTACATACATATGTAAGTATGTATAGAAAATACTAATCAATTTTACCGGCCCGGCAGTTGCTGCTGTTCGGCATGCGATCAAATTATGTTCGGTTTGTTGTGGTCGGCGATTCGATGAGTTTTAATTTGACTTTGGCACCCGTCGCATAATTCTCAAACATTTCTATGGCAACTGTTCAATTGGTGTTTACATATTTGCACTATTTCACAAGACATTGCGAATATACATGCATACATATCAAATTTATGTGTGTGCTTGCATGTGTGTGTGTTTGTGTGTGTGCATAGACTACACACATTCGAAGCGATAATTTTTTGGCGCGTCTTTTGGTTTGATGAACGCGACGGCTTCTCCGTTAGCAAAACCAAACGCGAACGTTTCAAAACAACAACTGACGAGAACCAGTTGTAGTGGGCCACACCAGCTGCAGCGGCAGCAGCGTGTATATGGAACGTTCCGGCAACGAAACGAATGCCAGAGCCGAACGGCGCGACAGGACTTCGCCACATCAGTGCCGCTGTCGTCGTACACTTCGAAAGGGAGGAATGGGAAAGAGAGTTGAGTAGCACTCGCCTCGCACTCTCTCTCTCACTCTCTCACTCACTCTCTCTTTTTTCGACAGCACTCCAGTTGTTGTACTTCCTTTACGCTTGCACGACGCACTCAACACACGCACAGGCAGGGGCGCCGTTACTCACATCAGATTGGCTCCGGCCTGGCAGATGTGCATTGCTTCC